TATTTCAGTCAGCGATAGTAAAACCGTGACCCTTAGAATTTCAAACATATCTTTCTTTAAACATGGCTTTCAAGAAACAAAATACATTTTCTACTCTGCTGTTCGCAATGAACCACGGAAATCTTGGATGTCCCTGTCGACATTTTAATGATAACTTTAATAATTTTTAAGGAATTATTTTAAGGAATATCACAATTAATTTGTAAACCGTTTTAAAACGTAAACAATAGTTGTAATTCGTGGTTTCATGTCGTCCTCTGAGTAGAAACAGAGTTGTGTTTACAATATGGCAATTTCCGTTGTTGCAGTGTTCTCTGTAAGCATACTCGTTTCAAATTACAATACCTAGACTGATCCAGTCGTGACAATTTTATTGTTTTATATGACAATTCTTCGAAGACTGAGTTTGTAGAATCCCCTGCGTTCACGCGAAATTTCCATCAGACCAAGATTGAAGAAAGATAAAATTATCATGGCTCAGCGAATCTGTTAAAATTATATAAATACCAAAACATAAACACATTCAGATAAAAACAGGTTGAATTCAGCTTTCTATTTAATGTACACAATATAAAATAAGATACAAATTTGTGTGGAAAGTCAAAAACAGTTGAAATAACTTGTAAACGCCATTTTTTAGAGTATTTCGGAGACAGAATTGACAGATTGTGATATCGTCTGACGGACGGCATTCAGGCTTTGGTCATGTGATCTCAATGACGTCATTATGTTCTATTTTTAGGTGAAATACGTCAATACAGTGATTAATGTTGTTATTGTAGTGTTGGCATAGTGACGTGTTTATCCAATGGCTGGGCGTAAACCAAGGTGGGATCCTGAAGACAAGAGTTACGATGCTGCTGCCTGTGGTCTAAGTCAAATACCTGATGAGATTTTAAGAGAGCCATTACGTCATCAAGTTAGAGTGATAGAGCTGCGTGAAAATCAAATAGAAGATTTACCTCCAAATATCGGGACTTTATGGCCAGAATTGAGAGCACTGTCGTTGTGGAACAACAAACTGAGATATATTCCGGAGTCAGTCGGTGATCTAAAAAAGTTAGAATACCTGCACGTGTATGGCAACCCATTAGAACGTCTTCCTGCGTCGCTGACAAGACTTACAAATTTGAAGACGTTTATCTGTGACCGAATTAAAGGAGTGTTATCAGAAGATGTGAGGATTCTGAACAACCCAACGAAAATCAGGAAACTATGGGATGAATTGTTTCCACAGAAAACTGGTATGTAAACAATAACAACAACAGAACAACATTATCGAATATGAAATATTTTTGAAAAAAAAAAAAAAAAAAAAAAAAAAAAATATATATATATATATATATATATATCTTGACTTAAGAACTTTTAAACCGGGTCACGTGACACTGAAAATAGCTATTTTTCTAAAAGCTAATTCAGTTGTGTTTAATTAGCGCTGTTATAATAATATCGAATTAAATATTGTATAAATAATTGCGGTAATTATAGGAATTTGATTTGATTCCCGGGAAAGTAAATATGTGTCGAAGCTTGTGCTACAAATCAAACGATTTCGATTTCACGTTTGACCCGGGTGTTTGACTTAGTTTATTGGAAAATAACTTACTTGTCAGCCAATTCGCGGAATCGCCGATCTTACCGTGACTGGATATGGTATAACTAACCACCAGGTCAGTGATTGGTTGTTAAAAATTTACTATTTATTGTGTCACCGCCATGTACACATTCAAACTAGTCAAACGCAGCTGTCTCTGTATTTTACTGACCTTCAAAGTTAGTCAGCTGATCCGTGCAACTTGTACAAGTTCACAGACACTGTCACCACATAAGGTCTTATGTCACCAATTATCTTATCAGAGATTTTTGTTTTATTTTATGTTATGGCAGATATGCATTACAATTTCTAGT